TTTTTTTTTTTTTTTTTTTTGATACACTTTATTTCTCACACTTTATTTCACACTTCATTTTATATATAAAGGATGTAAGGATGTAAGAAATGTCTCGCACTTTATTTCTCATTTTTAATAACGATGAACGACGGTAATAATGAAAATACCACGGAAGAGATTGAAATTATAAACGTTGGTAAAGAAGGAATGTCTTACGGCGAACTAAAAAGGCTCCATAGCATGTCCATGTTGACATTAAGCAACATGTCGAAAGTTATATCGTCTCTTCCATCAACGTCAACGTCAACATCATCATCACCAACAAACCCAATAACATTATACTCTTCAAAAAATGTTAAAATTTCAAAAACAAACAATAATTGGTTGATTCCGTATTATCCTTTCAAAGAAGGCTGCCGGGTGTGTCATTATTATGGACATTCTTTGAAAAATTGCCCTAATCTTAAACCTGAATTTCGAGGAGTAGATCGTTGTATACATTGTTGGGAACCAGGGCACTTAAGTGGTAATTGTAGTAGGGATTCAAAGGTACCACCGTATAATGAAGATTTTTTATCCCTGGAAGAAATCATAAACAATTTATTTTATAAATAATTTTTTTCTTTTATAATTTTTTAAATAATTTTTTTTCTTTTATAATTTTTTAAATCTTTTTTTTTTCTTTTAAAAATTTATCATGGGTTGCCGGTGGCAGTGATAAATTTGGAAAAAGTTCACCTGGACACCGGGTGGTGTGGTGACTTTTCTTTTTATATACTGTATATAATGTAATAAAATAATAAATATACCGTAATAATATAAAATTATAAGTTCTTAAATTTAATTTGCTAAAATATAAATTAGATTAATTCCTGCATTTATTAAAAATTAATAAAATTGACAATATAAAATCAATCGGATTGCATTGCATTTAATAAAATTTTATTAAATTCTACTTTATTATTAGTTTTATTGTAATGTTATATGACAAAAGTGTTTTCTTTTTGTAGTAGCAATTAAATATGAAAGTGTCTGTTTACTGGAATAACCGCCATATATTTAATAGGGTTCCTTTTACCTATTGTAAAATCACTAGTTATAAATTGGGCATAAATGTTATGAACTGGTATAATACTGTCTCTACCTATATTGTAAAAATCATATTTCCATATCTCAATATTACAACTATTATTGTCATTATTGACCCGACATTGAAATCTTTTTTGTTGATCTTCTGCCGGTAAATACCACTTAACGAATGCTAACTGATGCGTATGGTAGCCATCTGGAAGTTCAACTGTATGCTCAAAGAAGAACTGAACTTGACCAGGGAACGCTTCAACTATTTCATTTTCTTGTATAAAATTAGCTAATATATATGAATTCTTTTTATATTGAGGTGAAATTACTGATCCGAAAATTTCAGAACCAATTCTGACTCGACCAAACTGATTAGCTCTAGTATGAACAATAATCTGCTGGTTTGAATTTCTCAGCTTTATTTGTCTGCTTGAGACATATTTGTTAAATGATATAAAATCCAAATTATACGCATCTTTGTAATATTGTACCAAGTGATCGCAAATTTCTTCAGGAAGATTAACCTTTAATCTTGTCTGTTTCATCATTTTGCCGGGGAATGGTTCCTTGCCAGTAATTGTTTCATCAACATCAAGACGAAAGCTTCTCATGAATCGGTGCATTTCATCAAAATTAAATTCATCGTATGCAGATAAGCTGCCGACAGATGGCCTAGGGCGTAACAACTTTAATCCTTCTTGGAGTCTCAGATTATCCGATTGATCAGATAATAAATTATCAAGTTTCTGATTTTGCATTATGATACGTAGGAGCTCTGACTCAATTTGACGATGTGAATTAGAATACGAACCTAAATACCAAACATTATCATTTAATAATATGGTCGTAAAAAAAAATTTATCAGCCTCAAAAACTCACCTAAAATACCGTTCATTCTTTCGAATGAAAAACACCAGAACGAATACAAGGGACCATAATCATGGCAGCATTCAGTAAGATGAAGGGAAAGGTAAATGTTCGGAGTGATGTATTCTGATCCGTAATGTTCTTCGATTAATTTAGCAACAGTTAACAACCGGCTATGTGCTTCATTTAATGAATTTCTATCAATAATGCGTGATACTAATAAGAAGCACGCTTTAACGAAATTTGCTAAAATTTTCCTATCAGATTCATCTAAAAGATCCCAAAGAATTGGTGTAGCATAAATCATGATGAAGGATCTCCATTGATCGGCTGTAAATGTGGAAAATCCATCTCCAGTTGCTATATTATCAGGAACTCTCCCTAAATCGGCGGGTATTTTGATTCTTTTTGCCCGTTTTTCGATTAATTCGAGGTCAGATTTTGTTAATTTTCCTTTTTCAATCCATAGTCGCTTCACAATCCAACGAGTAATCCTTAGAAAAAGACAGTTCATCGGATCCACAATTAGGTGCTTAATCTGATTGAAATAAGGAAGCCTCAACATTTCTGACCAGCGTACATGTGTATCAGAAACATGTTGTTTTCTTTCTTCATTGGATATGCAGCTCAGCCAACCTTCAGCATTACGTCGATGTTCATCTACACTTCGCTCTCTAAACCATTCTCCTATATTATCAAATTCCCCGAAGTTTGGCCTTTTGTTATCACCATTTCTTTCAGCGCGTTTATAGCATCTATGGCAGCCAACTAATGCCGATATGTGGCCACACAATTTTCGCGCCGCGGGGATATCGTTTGAACAGCAAATGACGGCTAATCTGATTCTCTTTCCTGTTGGATGTTTTGATGACACTGGTAAGTCAAAACCATGCCAAAATTCTAGCAATACATCAACTATCGGGGCAAGGTAATGGTTTATATGGTGTAATTTAACTTCTGTGGGTCCCGGTAGTAGACCAAGTGTGAGCATGTATTCCTTCTTGAATCTAATATCACGAGGAAGATTACAGATAACGCCATAAATCACACCACAACTATAAGTTCTCGAATCAAATGGCTGGAACCAGTCCAGGTTTAACATTATTCCCAGATGAGTATCTGCTGTTTCTGGGGCAAAAAATGGCGAAGGATCTGGGATATCATGTTGTGAGGGAAAAGTTTTCCAAATATCGCCGTCATAAATATCAAACATTAACCCTTGATTAACACTCCGATTTGTCCATTTTCGTAAAAGCTCTTCAAAACCTGCTCGTTGATACAATGCAACTAGCTGTGTCTTTAAGCATGGTAGAGGGTAAATCATTATCGGCCGCCAAATATATCCTTTAGATATTGGTACCTTTTTTAATAAGACTGTATTGCAAGATTTTCGTTGACTCTTTATCGGATGATTTGGGAACTCGACATTGTTGCATCTTGTGCTGGAGTCGGCTGAGCTTTTGGAAATGACTTCTGTTGGATTGAATAATTTATTACATTGGGGACATACTGCATAAGTATTTGATTTTTTAATAAATCCCATTAGTTTTTTTGCCATATAGGCAGATGAAGGAAAATTTTCAAATCTATTCTTATCGATTTCCAATAAAACCAACTTGAAAAATTTAATTAACGCGTCGATTGCCGAATCGGATAGCTGGAATCTTGTTTGATACTTAAAAATCCAAAGTAAAATCCATGTATCACTAAAGTTCACGCGTGTATTAGAAGTTTCGACAGTATCATCAAAATCGGGAGCAGAAAATTGCTTCATAGTTAATGCTTCATCATCATCTGATAGCGTTTCATCATCAATTGGCCGAAAATCTTCATCACTATATTGTTGATCAACTTCTGCCGGGTTAATAAATTGATGCCTGGCATGCCTAGCATCACGATTTTTAAGCGTTTCATCATCAATTGGCAGAAAATCTTCATCACTATATTGTTGGCAAGCTTCTGCCGGGTTAATAAATTGAAGCCTGGCATGCCTGCCATCACGATTTTTAATAGTTGCAGGATTCGATCCTGAAACTTTCCTTTTCTTTTTATCAGGTTCTTCCATTGCCAGCCGCAACTTTTCCTCCTTTGCATAGTGTTTTTCTCTCGTTCTCGACTCAGTCCACTTACCATTGCATTTTTTGCAGTTGCATGGCACTTGTGGTCTTACTTTCGTAGTTTTTGAAGCTACCGGTATAGATAATTGGTTTTTTTTAGATTGACCAACTGTTGTTTGTTCTCGCATCTTTAAATATAATGTGACTGAAAAATTAAAAAATGCGCGTTTACCCAATACGATGGTATACGCGGCATAACCTATTTAGGATAAATTAAATGATGTCACATACTCTCTCCCTACCGATAAATATAAACACGTAAATAAAAAGAAATTTTTTTTCACTTTAGCTGGTCTCCACTTCTCCACTCTCCACCTTTTGAAGTCTTTTCCGCCGAAATGGGCGACAAGGTTAGGAAAGACCACAACAAAAAAGAAAGAGCTATGATAACTCAGGGACGTCATCCATGTGCAGACAAAAACCGCCAACCAAAGTCCAAAAAATATAGCACGGAAGAATCATAATATTAATAATATATTCTTAATTATTGTTTTGCGAATATTTCGTTATTTCGTTCGAATATTTATTTGAATATTTATTTGAATATTTATTTGAATACAAATTTATTAATAAAAAGAAGACGCGCACACGAGAGACGTAAAAACGAATATTATCACCCATCTTCTTGTCCGTCGGACTCAGAAGAACAATTATCAATACGTAGGAGAGAGAACCGACAAGCAGGTTAATGTTTAATTAGAAGTCTTTTGACCTTTTTACTTTGTATCACTTTACACTACTTTACACTCCTAACTCGTATACATGTAATACGTTGATGCTGACTTAATTGGAAAATTACGAACATGAAGTTGTGGAAACTTCTTACCATGTAACAAGTGATTCGGAATCGGCTTCCGGTGACAAATCTGGTAATTCTGAGACCTCTGATGACGAATCTGGTAATGCTGATAGCGAATCGACTTCTGACGATCCCGATTCGATCTCTGACGATAGTGATTCCGATTCCAATTTTATTCCAAAATATTATTTTTCAAAAGACAAAATGCCACACGATCTTCGGGAGGCCTTGAGAGTAAGTGAAAGTTTAATTTATTATTGAAATTGTTAATTAATGTTGTTATTCGCAATTTAGCTGGAAGTGAAATGGCTATTAAGCCAGTTCCCAGATGAAGATAAGCTTAACCTTAATGAAACGTTTGAACAACAATCGGACTACGTGAATGAAATTATTGTACTGGCAATTATGGAATCATTAAATAAAACGATATTTCCAGTCGCCAATAAAGTTGTATACAGCATGATACATTCATTACACCGACACTGACGAGAAGAATACAAACTTAAAAAAAGATCACCAGAATTCATAGACAAGCAAAATCGAAGACGACACTCCAATAGCCAAAGAAATTCAGTAAATATTATTAATTTCTGTCTTATTCTGTAGTAATTTAGTTTGTTTTATATACACTTTTTTTTTACAGAAACAAAAAAATAGGGCAAAAATGATTAATCACTTACGAAGGGTAGGCGATCCACTAATTCGGAAATTCAATAACGAACACCTGCAGCCAGTCATTAATCATAGTGCATATCACTCCCCCGAAATTTCCGAAACGGATGAAGAGAATCCATCCGGAAAAAGAAAAATAGTGATAAGAGATTTCAAATGGCGGTCGTCAACTGTAAGTAATGTCTTGAAATTAATAACAATTAGCATAAATACTAACCATTTTTTTTCTTCTTATGCTAAGTGTCGTATGTTTTTACGAAATTACATAGATCGGAAGATTTCTGAAAAGTCGAAGGTTCCTAAGAAGAGAAAATATGTTTATGATAACGAAAATTTTTATGACAAGGAAGAAGAGAAACCCTGCAATGCTCCTAAATGGACTTGTACCAAATATAAAGGTATATTAAAAACACACATTAACGATGCCTGCGGCTGTCAGTTTGGCAACGAATTACCATCAAGACCGAACGAATTAAATGACAATGAAATTTAATTTCTTAATGTGATTTGTTAAATTAGAAAAGTTAGATTTTAGCTCATATTGATTGTTAAAATTAAAATAAATAAAAATCAGTATCATTTAGATTAATTAAATATCAATTCATATATCAATGTATTAATAATAACCGATTTATGCTGTTGATTATTGAGTTCTGTTTATTTCCTATTTTCAATTAAATTGCTCGAATATTGACTAAATTGTGCCAGTTAAAAAAGTGCCTGATTAATGACGAAATCTTGCCGGTTAAAAAAAAGTGCCCGATTAATGATGAAATCTTGCCAGTTAAAAAGTGTCCAATTAATGACAAAATTGTGCCGATTTCCACCATAAATTTACAGCAATCAGTAATCACGTCAATTCAAAGTAATTTGAATAATCAGCATTAATCGGTAAATGATCAGCATTAATCGGATAGTCCGATTATTAACTGATTGATATCTGATCACATGCCGATTTTTAATCATTTGACCTGTGACTTTAATATAGAAAATCAGTTCCAACATGGATGCCGATATTCCAGGTAAGTTTTGAAACTAAAAGTTTCGAAACTTTTTTAAAAAAACATTTCTACCGTTTTTTTTCATTTTTGTATAGGAAATCAGCTCCAACGTGAACGCTGATATTCCAGGTAAGTTTCAAAACTAAAGTTTTGAAACTTCTTTAAAAAAAAATGTTTATTTTAACATTTTTTTTATATTTAATTATAGGAATATCAGTTCTGGCGTGAATACCGAATCCCAAAGATAAGTTTTGAAAAAAATTTTCAAATTTTTCTTTAATAAAACGTTTTTATATTAAAAACATTTTTTTTATTATTTTTATATAGGAATTCAGTTCCGGCGTGGATACCGAATCCCAAAGGCAAGTTTTGAATAATTTCGAAATTTTAATAAAAAAACGTTAATTTTAACGTTTTTTTTTATTTTTTTGTAGGGATATCGGTTCTGGTATAGATACAGAATCCCATTGGTTAGTTTTGAAAAAGAATTAAAAACTATTTAGAAAAAAACATTTATTAACATTTTTTTTATTATTTTATTGTAGGAAAACGGTTCCAACTTGGATACTGAATCCTATTGGTTAGTTTTGAAAAAAAATTCAAACCTATTAAAAAAACGTTATATTACCATTTTTTTTATTTTCTTTTGTAGGAAATCAGTTTTTTTATTTCTCTAGGTAATGTTTTGATAGATTTTCGAAACTTACTTAAAAAAACGTTTTTAGCTAAAAAATGATTTTTTTATATTTTTTTTTATAGAAAATTGGTTCTAGTGTGGATACCGATATTCCAGGTAAAGTTTTGAAAAATTTTCAAAATTTCATTTTTTTATTAAAAGAAATGGTTAACCAACCATTTCTTTACTTTTTTTGTAGGTTTCCCCTTCGAATTTTATCAGATCAGGTAAATTTCTTTCAAACCCAATTTTTTTATTTAAAAAATGAGTTATTGGCCGTTTCCTCCTTTTTTTGGTAGTTTTCTTCGGACTTTTATCAGGTTAGGTGAGGATTATGGGTGGATGATGGATGGTGGATGATAAATGGTGTATATAAATGATAGATAGATAATAATTTAATATGCAATTTTTAATAAAACGAATTAATAAAATTTAATCAATAAATTGTTATTATAAAAATTAAAATCAGCTAAATGTACAAAAATCGGTAATAATTATTAGGTTTATTAACAATCGTCAATTTGATTTTACCAATTTGTTGCCAATTTTACTGATCGATTTGTTGACAAGTGGCAGGCATTACAGTGTAAATCGTTTATAAAATTAGTTGCTGATTTTTTTGGTACTGATCGGCTAAGGTCAGACCAAATTTCGTCCAACATTCAGCAATTTAAAATTTTGCCAAAATGGACTATTTCGACCAGTGGCTTGAATAAAATGGAGACATGTAAGATAAAATTTAGTGACGCGTTTAGCTTTTTAAGCCTTTTTACTTCTTTTTTTTATTTTTTTACAATGCTACCAACTCATCAGAAAATAAATGATCCTCATACATATTGCTCATTTTTGATCTTTGGAAAATTTTGATAAAATTATCAATGAAAAAACTGTTTGTTGTAAATGTGGAGTTATAATTCGGCTAGATCGTCCATTTAGAACAACAAATTTTGAATGACACATTAAGAGTTAAAACTGTATTCTTGGTACTGACAAACAATAAAGCTTATATCTTTTCTTTGATTAAAATCAAAATACAGAAGAAAAAACTGAGTCACATGAATGTTTGCCTTGTATTGGTTTATTTGGTGATTCGTACACAAATTATGCTACTAGTACTCCATCTGATTATAGTGGTAAAGAAAGGCCTGAAGTGGTTGGAAAGAGACTTTTTCCCGTAAAGTTTTCCCATGATGCTCTTTTTTTCCATAAGAAACTTAATAAAGAACAAATTCAAGAATTTAATACTACATTACAAGTAATATCTCTCTGGAAAATAGATCAATTTGAAGGAGTAATACGAAGTGTGAAGTGTACAGTTATGACAACAAATTTATCGGATTTATGTGGTGAATGTATTGATTTGAAAAATAATACTAGATTAAAAGATGCAATAAAATCTATAAGTTTACCAAGTTTTATTTGTTGGTTAATAATTGAAACTTATTTCTTTTTTTGTATAAAGAGACGGGCAATACCATTGACATTCAAATTTATACCAAAATTTTATTTCAATACCCGTTTGATTGATCTTATAAAAAATCAAAATCTTAGAAGTCTTTGGACTTGTATAATTACCAATAACAATGATTCTGCAATGTGGGCTTCTTTAGCTCAAATGGGAATGAATGGTTCTTTTAGTGGCGAAAAAACATTTACAGAGTTGGCTTCTCTAATGTTACAAATTAAGATAAAAGAGGAAGCGGGTATAAGCATGAAAGGCTTGCAATATTCTGAACACTTTACACATTTCTTTAGTTTGTTATCTGAAAGTAGTCGTGAATATGAAGTATTTCGTAAAGCATTAGATGGAATGTCTATTCAAAGAATTCAGTGATTTATGTATATATTTATTATCTCTTTATTATCTCTTTATTATTTGATTTATGATTATTACAATTATTTATATATTTAATTTATAAAAATTTGTTTAGTCAAATACATGCCTCAAATACAGAGTTAATTACGGATCCTAATTTAGTCCTAGATAATGTGACAAAATTTGCTTGCATAACAAAAGAATTAAAGTGGGAAGGGCCAATTTTATTAATGACTGATTATACAAAGATCTGTTCTAAATTAGTTTATTCTCAAAAACTTGGTTATATTACGGGATCTACTTTACCTTCAAGTGAAGTATCAGTTTCTGATATTAATGATATACATGAAAAAATTTGTAATATTTATGAAAATAATGCATTTGCAACACAAGTTCAAGTTATTGTTCTTAAGGTATTTTTTTAATTTTTTTTTTTAATTAGTAAGGTTTCAGTGTTACATTATTTTAATGTTTATTATATTTAGATTCCAATTGGAAAAATACCTCTAATGGTGATTGCTATCTTGCCTACAAAAGATGATAAATCTGCAGAACAAATTTTTAATATCCTCTGTACTAAGGTTGCTTGTCTAAACCTCTTCAAAATCCTACGATTAGTTTCGTCAAAATTTTACTATAGATTTATTATAGTTTCGGCAGAATTTTGGCAGTTTCGGCATTTATAATAAGTTTCGGCAGTTTCGCCTTTCTCCAAAGTTTCGCCAGTTTTTTAATATAACTTTAATATAGTTTCAGCAGAATTTCGCTTTTTGGCGAAACGCCATCTTGCCTAAACCCCTAGGTTTCGGCAAGCAACCTTACTCTGTACTGTATTAGATTTTGCACACCAAAATAACTTAAATATTCTTAGTATAGGTGCTGATGGTGCAAGATCAGAATTTAATGCTCAAACAAAAATTATGAATTCATCGTCAACATATTTTACGTTTGATGATCCATTTTACAATGTACATTTTAAAGTGCCAATTATACATGGAAGACCGTTGGTTCATGTTTAAGACCCAAAGCATGCCAAGAAAACAGCATGGAATCAATTATTTACTGGAGTAAGACATCTTTCATTAGGAATAGATACTGTACGATATGATTAGCTGTATCTACTAGCACATCAAGATACTTTATTGAAATGTAATGTTCTTAATATTAATAAACAAGATGATGGTGCAGCGTATTAGATGTTTCATTCAGATAATCTATTACAAATTATTCAAGCAGAAAATATTTCTGATATGATCAGACTTTTTATTTACTTATTTGTTCTTGGTAAGTTGTCTTACATTTAAACAATGAAATTATTTATTGTAATACTAATTAATTACTTGATTATTAGGAGAATTATGTGATCATATCTTAATCGAAAAATTGATCATAAGGTAAGAATTAGGATGGCTATGCGTGCATTTTTTTTTCTTAAAGTATGGAAAGATTACATTCAATGTTGTGGCATGATTCATTCATCAAAATGGTATAATATGCAACACAGTATTATATCTATGTAAAGTTTTGAGATTTTTATTAGTATGGCAGAATCTTTGAAAATGCTTATTATTGTTGATTGAGAATACTATCCTCACTACCCTTTATTTTTATGGGAACATGTAACTGAGGCTTTTGAACACATATTTGGTATATTACGTCAAGTAATAGCTGATTTTAACTTTTATGAATTTTATAAAATTCAAAAACGTGTAATGTATCGAGATAAAATTTCATGTGCTGGACTGATTAATACATCAAGAGATCGAACATCAGTTAGAAGTAAGAATTTGTTATATTAATTAAAATATATTTAATAAAAAAATTTACAAATTTTGTATATTTAGGTTATGTATTTGATATTGATGGTACTTCTCTTTTCCATGAAACTATTGAATATTTACGTACTTGGCCATCTGAAGATGACTTTAAAGAAGCAATTCATATTGAATATAGTGAAGCAATATCATTTGCAAAATATCTTCAAATTGACAATCGGACTGCACCTTCAATGCAAAAACTTATTCATTGTGATGAACATTCATCAGATGATCAAAATAATTTAGAAACGGTTGATGATGATGAACAATGTCAAAATTTAGCCGGTATAAAATTATTTTAATATTTATTAATCATTTTCATCTTTTTTAATTTTAATTTTTATTTTAGAATCCATTGAACCACAAATGGAAATTGAGAATATTGGGACTGCTGCACTTGAAGTTTCTTAGCTCTTGTTGGATGAATCAGATGATGAATCAAACATAAGAAATGAAGATGAAGTAACAAATATTTTGTTAGCAACTTTTTCTGATTTACGTTACATTCTTAAACAAAAACCAGTTCCTCAAAAGCAATTTAAAAGGTTTGATCCACTGTTTACACCTGAAAGATTTGTACATTATAAAGCTATAATTGATATTTGAAAAAATCATGATGCCTTTACATGACATTCAAAAAGTGCCTTCAACAAACAGGCACAACCTGAAACATCTGAAACAACTGAAAAATCTGGTTTATTTAATTTCAATAATGCTAATCGATTAATTACTGAATTAATAATTGATTTAAATGTTCGAAAAGAACGTTAGAAAGGACGTAAATGACTTGCAACTATTCCAATAGCTGTTGGAACTAATGGTAAATATTTCTTTAATTGGCATTGTAAAATTCAATTATGTTTAAAGCTAAAATATTTAAGTGAATATTTTTTTTAAGTGCACAATATTATTGATGCAAATGTATCTGATATTCATTATCTAATTTCGGGTGGATATTTGATCATTTATTCAAACAATAAACTTTATATTGCTCAAATTATCTCAATGTATTATCTGAATGTTTATAACAATCTTTGAACAAATACATGCGAAGCAGGAGGAAAATTATTTGCCCATATTCCAGCTAAAGAAGTTTTATATTATTTTAATTCACCACCTTTTGTTTCTCAAGGTTCTTTTTTTACTTTAACAAAAGAAAATTTGGAAATTTTTCAGTATTTTAAAACACCAGAAATGATATCAAATCTAGCAAAGATTTTTCATAAATAACAATTTTTGATAATAAATTTGTAATTTTTTTGTTACTAAAATGTAATATAACTAATATTTTACAAAATAAAACTTAATTTTCTATTTCTGGTAAGAAATTTAATAATTGTAATTTTATGATTCGAATATATTATAATTATTTATACTTACTGTAACTTTGGTTTGCATAATTAGTAAAATCATGTGGTTCGCAATCATATGATTTTTCTGTATTTTTCCAGTGACCTCTATTAGAAGTTTTTCTGATCTTACTATAGCTTATTGGAACGTTTCATAATGATGAGTCGAATAATGGTTAGATCATCTTTCTATGATCACTGGATGCCAAAATATTTAACGAAACATCAAAAATTGGCATTTTATATTTTGCGATACTGTGCTGTTTGACATTTTTCCTATTATCTCAGCATCCAGTGATCGTAAAAAGATGATCTAACCACCATTCAACTCGTCATTATGAAATGATTCCAACGAGTTATGGTGCATCTTTCTACGATCATTAGATGTTGAGTTATTAAGTAAAACGTTAAATAGCGCAGTATCGCAAACTGAAATACAAAATGCTGATTTTTGACGTTTTACTTAATATCTCAGCATCTAGTGATTGTAAAAAGATGATTAAACACCATTCGACTCGTCATTATGAGACAATTCCAACGAGCTATAGTGCATCTTTCTATGATTATTGGATGCCAAGTTATTATGTAAAACGTCAAATAACGCAGTATCACAAAATATAAAATGCTGATTTTTGACGTTTTACTCAATATCTCAGCATCCAGTGATCGTAGGAAGATGAACTAACCACCATTCGAGTTGTCATTATGAGACGATTCCAACGAGCTATGGTGCATCTTTTTACGATTATTGGCACTGGTCAAAATAGTCCATTTCAGCAAAATTTTAAATTGCCAAATGTTGGACGAAAGCTAGTCTAAATTTGGCCGATCATTGCCAAAAAAATCGTCAAAATTATTTATAGACGATTTGCACCATAACGCCTGCCACTTGTCAACAAATTGATCAGTAAAAATTGGTAACAAATCGGTAAAATCAAATTGACGATTGTTAATAAACCTATAATTATTACCGATTTTGTACAGCTGATTTTAATTTTATAGTAACAATTTATTAATTAAATTTTATTAATTTATTTTATTAAAAATTACATATTAATTAATATCTATCTATTATCTATATAAACCATCTACCGACTCTACTGTCTACCATCCATCATGCATTCACCCATCATCCTTACCTAACATGATAAAAGTCCAAAGAAAACCTACCAAAAAAGGAGGAAATGGTCAGTAATTCATTTTTTATAATAAAAAAATTGAAGTTTCAAAAGAAACTTTCCCAATCTGATAAAATCCGAAGAGGAAACCTACAAAAAAAGTAAAGAAATGGTTAGTCAACCATTCCTTTTAATAAAAAAAATAAAGTTTTAAAAAATTTGAAACTTACACGCCCATCCAATAAAGTCCGAAGGGGGAAATCTACAAAAAAAAAGAAGAAACAATTAGTTTAACGTTTTTTTGATAAAAAATGAGTTTTAAAATATTTTCAAAACTTACCCCTAATTCGATAATGGAAACTTACAAAAAAAAAGAAGAAACAGTTAGTTCGTTTCTTTAATAAAAAAAGTAAAGTTTCAAAAAATTTGAAACTTACATGCCCATCCAATAAAGTCCGAAGGGGAAATCTACAAAAAAAATAAAAAAACGGTTAGCAAACCGATTCTTTAATAAAAAAATTTGTTTTGAAATATTTGAAACTTACCAAATCAAAAATCTGAAGTGGAAACCTACAAAAAAAAGGAAAAAATGATTAGTTAAAGTTTTTTCGATAAAATAATTTGTAAGAAAAAAGAAAACAAAACTTTGAACACACCTATCCAACACCCAAGAACTGGAGGCCGAAACCTACAAAATAGAAAAAAAATTTAAAAAAAAATTTTTTTAAAGAGTTTCAAAGTTTTCGAAACTCACCTAGTATATATATAACGCCAATGAATCAGAAGCTGAAACCTACAAAGAAGAAAAAATAAATTAAAAAAAATTGTTTTTTTTTTGAGTTTCGATTCTTTCACTTCGAAACTCACCCATATATCCAAAGTCCAAGCCGAAACCTACAAAGAAGGATAAAAAAAAAATTAAAAAAAGTTTTTTTTTGAGTTTCGATTCTTTCACTTCGAAACTCATCCATATATCCAAAGCCCAAGCTGAAACTTACAAAAAAGAAAAAAAAATTAAAAAAATATTTTTTTAGAGTTTTGAAGTTTTCGAAATTCACCTAGTGTATATCCAAAGCCCAAGAACATAGAATAAAAAAAAACGTTAGAAATTAAAATTAACGTTTTTTTATATTAAAGTTTCTAAAATTCGTTCACTTAGTATGGGATTTGATATCCAAGTAGGAGCTGATTTCCCTACAATAATATAAAAAAAATGTTAAAAAACGTTTTTTTTTTAAAGAAGTTTCGAAAATGAAACTTACCTGGAATATCAGCATCCTCGTTGGTGCCAGTGTTGGCATTTTCTGGAATCTGGAATCTGGAAACATGTATTCCAGATTGATTCCAGTGGTTTTGGAAGCATTGGAATCAAATTTCCAGATTCCAGAAACCATTGGAATCAATTTGGAATCAAAATTCCAATGTTTCAGATTCCAGATTCCAGTAAAATTTTCATTGGAAACTGGAATTTCCCATCACTGGTTGGTGCTGAATTTCTACAAAAAAAATAAAAAAAAAATGTTAAAAATAACGTTTTTTATATTAAAGTTTCAAAAATTTTTGAAACTTATCTTTGGGATTCGGTATTCACGCCAGAACTGATTTTCCTATAATTAAAATATAAAAAAAAACGTTTTTATTATAAAAACGTTTTATTAAAGAAAGTTTGAAATTTTTTTTTTGAAACTTATCTTTGGGATTCGGTATTTACGCCGGAACTGATATCATTACAAAAATATTAAAAAAATAAAACGTTTTTAATTTAAAAACGTTTTATTAAAGAAAGTTTCAAAATTTTTTTTTCAAAACTTATCTTTGGGATTCGATATCCACGCCAGAACTGATTTCCCTACAAAAATATTAAAAAAAAAACATTTTTAGTTTAAAAACGTTTTATTAAAGAAAGTTCTGAAATTTTTTTTTGAAACTTAACTGGAACATCGGTATTCACGTCAGAACTGATTTCCTATATAAAAGTGTAAAAAAAAAAATGTTTTTTACGTTAAAAATGTTTTTTTTAAAAGAAAGTTTCGAAATTCTTTCGAAACTTACCTAGAATATCGGTATTCATGCCAGAACTGATTTCCTATATAAAAGTGTAAAAAGAAACATTTTTTAATGTTAAAAAATGTTTTTTTTAAAGAAAGTTTTAAAAATTTTTCAAAACTTTACCTGGAATATCGGTATCCATGCCGGAGCTGATTTCCTGCAAAAAAAAAACATTTTTTAACATTAAAAAACGTTTTTTTAAAGAATGTCTCGAAACTTTTTTGATTTAATAAAAAGTTATCAAATTCAATGTATACATTTACCTGAAAAAATAAGGTGTAAGAAAGGGGAGGAAAAAGGATGAAAGAGAAGGAGGAAGAAAGCGAAAAGTTTAAAAAGTTAAAAAAAGTTTGTTTAAAAAGATCTGTAAAATATCGATCCAGATCATCTGATCATTTCAGTCACTAATTTGTCGAATTATTGCCAACTAGTTACCATTTGGCAAATTTGGCAAAATCATGTTGATTTATATGACTAATCGGTATAATTTTACTGAATAATTTTAAAGGAATCATTTTTCGTATAACAATCGGTATAAGTTGATTTTTCACCAAAAGACTGAACAAACTTTCATTTAACAATCAGTATCAGTTGATTTGTGATTGATTTTACTGATTTTTGCCATTGGTCAAAAAATGTGACGAATCACATGACCAATCAGCAAAAATTATGCCAAAAGCTCTTAACGGTCGAAAGTTTTGATTTTGACCAGTGTGGATGCTGAGTTATTATGTGAAATGTAATATTTTTAGATTTTGACAATTTTGACATGTCAAAACTATTTCGGCATTTTGACAAATCAGAGAGCCAATATCGAAATGTCAAAATAGTTTCAACAATTTTGACATGCTGAAACTCCCTAATTTTGGCAGGCAACTTTAGCTATAAGTTTTGCTGGTATTCATCGAGAATTTCAAAATATTCTTTGCCTTATTGCTGTTTTCAATTCTTCAAAAAAACTGAAAAGACTTTCACATTTTAAACAGGTAACCAGATGATTAAGATTACAGTCTCCAAAAGCATGTCGTATACAGTGACTAATATAAGAATTATAAACTGCAATACTAGATGCTGTAATTACCAGTTCTTTTGAATATTCTCGATGTATGTATCGTCTCAATTCTTGTGATTTTGTTAGTAAATGTTTTTAATATAATCAAATTATGTTATATTTTATAATTATGTTTGCAAATTTAGTAAATTTTATTTGTACCTTTAAAGATTCATTCATAATATTAGCAGAAATTATTACTTCAATATCTTTAAATACCATATAGCTGCAGTCATTACATGTAGAATATAAACCACCTAAATTTTCTCGATATACATATTGACCACCTTCAAGATAAGTCATAAAAGATGTATGACATATACCATTAGGATATTCTTCTGCAAATCTTTCTCATAACGCTTTTTTAGTATTTTGTAAATATTTGATTAGTTTTCCTGATTTGGCATCAGTTTTGTATGAACTCATATTAACAAATTCTTTATCATTTAAAATCTGACAATTTGTTTAAGCATTTTAAGTGCAAACCTTTGTTGATGGATTATTAGTTTTACAAGTGAAAGAGCTTCATAACCATTGATACGTGCATATTTGCGAGATTTCACAATAGTATGTGAACTAACCTGTATATATTCATTATAAATAAGATGTAAAAATTATTGTATTTGTACAGTCAAACCTTGATATAGCAAACTTTTGATATAGTAAATTTTTCAGACAACTATAATAAATTTCCCTTCATTATAATGAATTAACCAATCAAATCTTTTAAAATTTTCACTATAGTCTTATAGTGAAGTTGGGTGGGTCTGGATCCTAGAGTTCATTATAATAAGGGTTAACTGTATAATTTTTGCAAATTTTTCTTTTTTTTGTATATATATTTTATTTATATAATTTTAAAATAAAAAAATTTTAAAAAAATATGTACATTAAAATTTCACGTAAATAAAGCAAAATTATATTACATTTAAATTTTGTTTTAATTCTTCATAGGTAAATTTGTTGGAAATTATAGAAAGTATATGTCATTTTCTATCAGAAGTTTTTTTATTGTTGGCAAGTGTATGTTCAAAACACATCCAAAATTTTTGTGTTGCATTTGACATCATTTTTGGAGTACTAGTAAGAAAATCACTTTAATATAAGTAGCAAATACTTCTTTATCTGCTTCTCCATTTGATGATTTTATTTATAATTGATACTAATATAAAATATTTCATTTTAATATTTGAATAAAAAAAAATAATAAAAAATATCATATTTACTGACCTGTGATTTTTTATATGACCAAGAAGTTATATTTGTTGCACTAGCTACTTTTAGTATAGTTTGCCATGCACCCAATTCACATTCACTAAATTCATATCCTCTTGGATATATAGTACGTAAAGAAGATTCAAAGTTAATTATTAGATTTTTAGATTTAGCCCAATTTGTAAAAAAATATTTCTAATTAGAGCAGTGACATATATTAGCTAATATTATTTTAATAGTAACGTTTACTCCTTCACCTCCAGGTAAGATTTTATGACCAATCACAACCATTTCACATGGTTTATATTATGTGTAACCTAAGATTTTCTTTTACTCCCCCACCCCCTAAAATATTAGCTAATATATGTCATTGCCCTTAGCATTTGCTAGAGTTCTTCTTTTTATATGATAATCAAATAAGTTTTCTAGAATATATTCATTATTCCAGTCATCAAGAGTACATTTAGGTATTCGATGCTGTTGAATTAAATTTGTTGTAATTAGATTATCAAAACCAAAAAGTTGTATACTAGTAAAATTTTCCAGCTGTCCAATTTTCCCCATGCCTCATTTGGTGTTTTACCTATAAATTGTTTTATTAAGGTGAAATCTCAGTAAATTTCAATAATGCATCTCTTTTCTTCAATTTGTGATACAAAAATTGATTGTTTTTTTTATATCTATGAAGAAGGGATGATTGAAAACTTGAACTTACATAACACCATTTTTTATGTGATGACAACTCCATACTATAAATAAAAATCTTACAGTTTCCTATATTAACAGTAACAGAAATATAATCAACATCTTTTTTTAGAGTTTCAAGAATATTTTTGTTATTCCAACCCATTGCTTGATATCCTGAATGGCGTGTTGAAGTATTAAAATGATTCTTGTAAGCTGTAGAAATAGCCTTTATAGAACTTGACTCTGTAACGACATGCAAACCACTTTGACAGCAGTACATTGGCATTAATTTGCTATTACCAGAACCGGTTTGTATTGTTAAAATAAAGTCTACTTCATTAATGTGAACTTTAGTCTGTTGCCCCAGTTTAATCGGAAATAAAGTTTTATTTTCATCTGAAAATATCCACCAATAAAATGAATAAGGCCTATAGTGGAGCTCAGAGACTATAGAACCTGGTTTTATTAAAGTAACGCATAAATTTTGAACCATTTTGATGGTTATTAAAGATTGTCAACAAGAGATTTAAATTTATTATAGCTAGTTATTATATATCTTAACCCCAAATTTACTATATACAAATCATATGATCTGATGTCAATCATTCGCGGATCACGACTTAAGGAAAATGATAGAAAAAAAAGAAATTTTATACAGAATTTATAATAAATGATATACGTTAAACTGCTGAGTCTTAGGATCTAGTCCAGAACAGGACTTGGTCGGACACAAGTCCTGGACTAATCATATATGGACTTAGTTTGTAGGTCCATCGGATAGGACTTGCAAGTCTTAGGACTAAAACCGGACTAGGACCGACTTTACCAACCTTACCTGCATGTACGTACAACCACGTACAAAAAAAAAAAAAATTTTTGTTTGTCGAATGCTTACATAATAAATTTTTTTTTCAGCAAGAGGCTGAAAATTTACGTATATCCATGCATATTTGTGTTTCAAAATAAATAACTCGATTAACTTTTCACAATAAAAAAAAATTTTTTTTTTCTGGAATTTTACGCCATGCATATTTATACACGTGGTTCAAATAATAAAAGTATATAATCGCAAATGGACGATATAAAAAAAAATAATTTCTTTGGAAATAAATTTATATTTATAAGTAATTACCAAATGGGCATTGAAATTGAAGATAAACCACATACTATTGAAATATTACCAAAATTTACCTTCGATACCTTCGATGGTTGTAAACCACATGATGGTAAACCTATTACTAGGATAGAAATATCACCAAATGAAAAATACCTTGTTGTTTACAACGAAGAAGTTCTTTCGGTTTCCAGGAGGGATGTTGAAAATATGACGGAAGATTATTCTAAACTCATTGATAATAAAATCAACCAAATTTGTGTTTCCGATGATAAGGAACTTGTTTATATTGATGATGGAAACGAATTAAGTGAGTAATGATTATTTAATATGTATTTATTCATAATTAGTGGGTGCTTATTAACTTGTATTTTATTAGGAATAATTGATATGAATGGTTTCAATAAAATACGACTAAATTTTGACATTGAGCATAAAATGCTTTATTGTACCTTTAGTTCAAAAGGCGATTTTATTTTATACGGTGAATTTTATTTTGATACTTACGATTATAAAAATATTATTTGGGTCTTTTCAACACAAACTAAAAATAACAAGTGGATGTGTAAAAAAGTTTACATGGTACCCGACGATTTTAAACCATTACATCATATATCAAAACATGATAAATTTTATCTATTTTCAAATAATTACATTTATGAATGGAATATCCTTACCGGAGAATCAATCAGAAGCATATTTGTAAACGAGAATGAGGTAGTAAATTATATTAAAATCATTCGTTTTAAAACTATGTATAATTAATTATTATCTATTTTTAACAAATTAATAGTTTAAAGCAGTAGATCTTAATATTACAAGTAATGAAAAGTTTATTTGCTTGAGAATCAAAGATAAAATCAAAGATGAAATCAAAGACGAAATTAAAGTCGAAATTAAAGATGAAGATAAAATTATTATTTATTCAATTGAATTAGGAATTACTATCGCTTCTTTGGATATAAATAATGGTATTTGCCTTTTTATTTTATGTTTTATGTATTATACCATTAGCTTTTATTAATATCGATTCATAATTTCCTTTATTTGCTTTATTTAGATGATCAACTATATAGGTTTATGAATCATACTAGTCATATTGGATTACACCCATTATTATTCAGCTGTATACTAAACAGTGAAGTTTGTAATTCCGTCATGAAACAATGTTGGAAAAATGGTTTAAAGGAATTTCAAACTAATAATTTAGAAAATTTTCCAAATAACGTTCTAAATAAAACAACTACAACCAATTACGCATTTGGAATTCTAGATGGGTTTGTTCTGAAGATTAAACTTACAGAACAATTATCAAAAATAGTTTCACCCCAAAATCCTAAAGAATCAAATTTAGAAAATAGTGATGGTTATGATGATATAAACTTTAATTTATTTAATCCAGATATGAGTATTATATGTGAATTATTTGAAGAAGTTACTTCATCTTTGATTGACAACAGAAGTGAACTTGAGAATGAAGAAGGTTTATTTATATGGAATATAATAATTAAAAAAGCAACTGAATATGAAGTTAGATTGGAATTAAAAGTTCTTAACAACAATTCTGATCTTAATAGATCCGATTCTAACAACAGTTCTGATGCTAATATTATTTGTAAAAGACTTGATAAATTTGAAAGACTTTTTGAAAAGTAGATTTATTTATGTAAAACTAAATTATTTAATTGTAATAATATTGTTATATTTACAACAATTGGTCTTTTTATTTATCATTTTAATGAAAATAATAAGTCAATTTCCTTAAATTATTTTTATTTTATGGATTTATATATCATGGAAGATGAAGAACAATATAAGGATAAATTACAATATTATAAAGATGTATTTTCAAAGCCTAATTTACCTTTACCAAATTATGATAGTTTCAAGTCATTTGATAAATGGGTTTCATATATAATAGATAATAAGGAAAGTCTTTTGAAATATGGTGTTGAATTATTTACTTTTGCAATTAAAGAACATAAATTAGAATTAGTAGAAGTAATCTATAAAAAATGTATGTTTTATTTTAAAAAGGATTTAAAAAACAATAGGGTATTTTTGAGTGTTATTACTTCTGCTATGCCAATATTAAATGAATATTATCCAGAATATATTTCAAGATATTCATTAGAAACAACTATGATTATAGATTCCCCTTTTTATAGTATAAATCACAAAAAAAATAATTTACATCTTCATTCTTTTTCCCTAAATTTTCAAATAATTGATTTAAGTTTTTTTATTTTGATAAAATATTCCCATTTATTGAAAATAACCTTAAAAGCTGCTCATATTTTTAATCAATATTTTTCAAAATCTTCAAAACATACATTAATACCAATGATTACTTTTATGATTCCTTATATTAAATTTAATAATTATTCACAAAATTATAATTGGCTTTTGAAATCTAGTCCATTTACTAAAACAATAAGTAAAGAAATATTTAAAACATGGAATGGAGAAGCATTAATTAACTTTAAATGGAATGCTTATGGAAAATATTATTATTATACAATTTGGATTGGATTTCTTGCTTTATTTGGATGTTTTATTGCTGCAATTTATTGTAATGATAATATTCGAAATCCACTTTTAATCATTTCAATTATACTTGGATTTTTTCATTTGTTTTTTGAAATTCTTCAAATTATATATAATCCTATTAAATGGTTTTATGATCCTTGGAACTGGTTTGGTATGTATATAACTATATATATAATGTTTAATTTAATCATTTAATTATTTTAAAATATACTAATTATTATGAAACATATAGATATATTTGTATATTTACTTCCAACATACACTTCTATTTATTGGTTAGTAAACCATAATAAAAATGATTGGATAGTTCAATTACTATTTTATTCATGTTTATTATTAGATTTAAAGTTATTATTATTTTTTAGAATATTTAAATCTTATGGTATATATTTTTCACTTATTATTAATATTATAAAAGAAGTATATTTTTCTTTAATAATCTTAATGATTATTATTATAATAAGTTTTGCACATGCAACTAATATTTTACTATCACAAGATTTTAAAACTACAGTTTTTGCAATATACTTGTTTTTTATTGGTATAGTTTTATTTATTTTAATTTTAAATCATAACATTCATTAATAATTAACTTTAATTAAATTATTTATTACTTTATATAGGTGATTCAAATGCATTATTCAATTTATCAGATGAAAAAAAACCAACATTTCTAATATTGACAGTTTTCTTTACATTATTGATTATTATATATTTTTTAATTGTGTTTATCAAGTTATTTAGTGAAATAAATCAATATCAAAATCAAAATAATAATTTTAAAATCCTACAATTGATGTTAAAGGTTAAGGTATAATATTATTATTTAATATAGTAAAATTGCTTAATATTTAAAAATACTAAAATCTTCTTTTTTTTATTATAGATCTTAATTAAAATTGAGTTATTTTACTTAACATCATATCAAAAATATTGGAAGGCATGGTTTCCTGAAGTAATGTATGTTGATTTATTATTTTTTATAAAGAATTCTATTTACTTAATATTATTACTAATTTATACAAATTTATTTTTCAGATATTATTATGCTGATGTTAATAAATCTCAAAAAAAAATTATAGAAATAATTAGAAAAAATGAATGGAATATTGATGAATCTTTAAAAATAGATCAAAATTTATTAAAAGCACTTAAAATTCAACATAATTCTATTATAAAAGAATTTGAACAAATAGTTTAAATAAGCAAATAATAACTCTAAAGAATAAATAATAATTATGTAAAATTTACTTATTGAAACTAATAAGAAATTTGATAAATTATTATTATAAACTTATAGTTATATATAAAAAAAACATTAATTGGCAAATAAATATATATTTTATTTTCTTAATATTTAGTTTTATTTATTACGGCTTTTTATATATTATTATTTATTTATTATTATAATTAAAATAACCAAAATTTTAAAATAAAAGGTAATATTTTAACTTTATGTAATTAATATATTATATTTTAAATGTAGGAATTAGTCTTATATCAGTAAATTCTTTGAAATATAAATTCCTAATAAGGATTCCAAAAATTTTATAATTAATAAAAACAGATTTCTAAGAAACTTTTTCTACTAGCAAGGATTTTCCATTAAATAAATTTTATAAAAGGAAGGGGTAAACTTTTATATTAAAGTGATATTAGGTAATATCTGACAGTGCTCTTACAATATTATTATGATATTTTAATAAGAAAAAATGTATTTGTAACAGCCTGTTACATATCTTATTTGTAACATCCTTTTTTTATTTTTTTTTAATAATAAATTTAGGATTAATTTTATATTCACCAGTGGTTAATTTAAAATTAATTCACCAGTGGTGAATTTCACTTCAATTTTTATAAATTTTTATTAAAATACCAAATTTTAGTAATTTAATGGTGAATTTCACCTTGATTTACATGTATTACATACATGTGTTACATTAAATTTTTAAAATTTTATGGTGAAATTTACCTTCGGTGAATTTTACCCTAATTTACATAATGTATAAACAAACTTTTAGCCTTAGAACGCCATTTTTCTTTTTTTGTTTTTATAATTTTCTTTAAAGAATATAAACAATATGGAGGATTCTAATGATTATAATAAAGATATATATAAGACAAATGCATTTTTTTCGCCATATTCTGAAACTTTAGACTTTTTNATTAAAATACCAAATTTTAGTAATTTAATGGTGAATTTCACCTTAATTTACATGTATTACATACATGTGTTACATTAAATTTTTAAAATTTTATGGTGAAATTCACCATTGGTGAATTTTACCCTAGCCTTAGAACGCCATTTTTCTTTTTTTGTTTTTATAATTTTCTTTAAAAAATATAAACAATATGGAGGATTCTAATGATTATAATAAAGATATATATAAGACAAATGCATTTTTTTCGCCATATTCTGAAACTTTAGACTTTTTATTATTACCATTTAATGATAATTTTGCTATAAATTTTTTACCAGTTATTGAACCAGATTTTAATCATAATTTTACAAACATAGATAGTTTTTCTCTTGAAACACCTTCTAAACTATCTATTAACCCTTCTTTAGAGTTACTTTCTGAGCCTTCTTTAGAGTTATCTCCTGAACCTTCTTTTGAACCTTCTTCTGAACCTTCTTGTGAAACTCCTTTTAAACTACCTTTTGAAGAACATTTTGAATCATTATCTGAACATATTTATCAGTATAATCTTACTGTAGGAGATTATTTTGATGATTGGCAATCAGTTGATACATTTATGCATCAATATTGTTTAGAAAGAGGGTTTGGATATCAAGTTTATCGAAATAATAAAGATCCAAATAATTTTACTATTATATGACGTAAATCATTTTGTTGTTCTTCAAATGGAAAATATAAATCCAGAAAAGTAATAGATCAGAAATTGCACGTTTACGTGATACTATAAAGACAAATTATGAGTGGCACTGCAACTTCTCATTTCCAAAAATGGAAAATCAAGTAAAATGTACATCATTAAAAGATATACATAATCATGAAGTAAACCCTACCCAATTACCTCATATCATTGCTAGATATAGACGTTTTGATAACGAAATGATAAAAGACTTGAAATTTTTTTTGGATTGCAAAATTGTACCTATTATACTGCTGAAAACATTAAAGATGCCATTGAAAAAATCCTAAATGTTTGGAATTTGTGATCTAAAGTGCATTCATAATGGGAGTAATGTTAAAAAGTGTATAAAAAGTATGAATGGTATTGAATGAATTTCCTGTACTTTACACACGTCACAACTAGTAATTGGAAAGAGATTGGTACTGGTCAAGAACTTGATTTTAAGAGTCAAAAGGGTAATTGATTTTTTTTTAAGGATTGAACAAGCTGAAAGGCTAGAGGATATTCAAAAAAATCTAAATAAAGGGTAATTAATTTTGATTAAAGTTAATAATGTATATATAATATTTTAATTAAATATATAATTATAGGGATCAAAGAACTGCTCCTTCGAGATGCAATAAATGTTCTTAATACAAGATTAGCACGTGAAACTGATAGCAATTCAAAGAAAGATTCTATATGGTTAAAGGAAATTATGATTACTGCTCATGAATGGGATTTAATACAAAATTTAGTTGATATATTGATTATTTGGATGGTAGTTCTTATTTTACGTATAGTATAATTAATCCTGTAATTGAAGAAATTAAAAAAAGACTAAACCATCATCGGCCACAGAAATAGATGAAGACGTTTTTGATTATGATGATATAGAAGATGAATCTGATCAACAACATGTAAGCACACCTGTAAATACATCTGGATTGTTGAAAGACTTTATGAATGCTTATATTAATATTGGAATTTTCAAGATTCTTGTACCCTTCTTTATTAGTAATAATTGTATAATATACAAATATATATATAGGTTTTGTATCTCTATTTATCTAATGAAAATAATTGATAATTGATAATATCAATTTTATTAAATTTTTATTTAAAATCTGGTTATAATCTAAACAATAAAAAAAATCATAATCCAGATAAATATTGGCAGATAATCCAAATGATCTACAGATTCGCTATGGATATCCAAATTTACGAAATTAATTATGAATCAGATTAACAGATCACAGATTCATTCAGATCTTAACACCACACAGGATGAAGATGATGAGATAAAGGAATTTGAACCTTCATCTCAAGATAAAAACTTAGTAAATATTGCAGATGAGTTAGAAGATAAACTACGTTATCATTTGTGAAAAAGGTTACGTCAGAAAAAGAGGGTAGAAGCAAATTTTGAAGAATCAGAAGCAGAATCAGAATTAGTAAACTTTGAAGATACTGAATTCATTGATCCTGAAGACCTTCAGGGTGTATCATTAGATGATACCATAGATGTAGTCGATGGAAAAACCATACCAGAGCGTATAGTAAAATGGCCAAATGATGCATATTACGACTTTTTAGAGTTGATAGTAGAGGGTAATATCTCTCAACAAACATAGTAATTTAGACAAATCACCATTGCCAAGTTCAATGATGGATTATCTTAATCAAATAAATTCACCTTTGATAGACTTTCCAATTTTTCGTGCTATTCAAGCTTTTCTGCAATGACCAGAAGTAGCCAATAACTTCGTCCATAAAGGAATCCAAAATAAATGAAGGTTGGTAAAGGCAAAACAAGAATATTTGGCGAACCTTTTGAAGGTAACTGGTGGCCATCATTAAATCAACTATTGTCCATCAGTTTTTTTAACTCTTAAAATTTGCTGGAGGCTAAAATTCTTTTAGTATTTCTCTCTAAAGTTCAAGATACAGAAATCAAAACTACAGAAAGTTTTCAAAGTTTACAGCATGATATATATCATAAATGCTTCAAAATTATACTTCAACTTTTATTAGAAAATCTGAAGCACTATATTTTGGAATTAATGGACAAGTGATTACTTTTGCTGCACAGATATCTTTTTTTCTCACAGATATGCTTGAAGCTGATGATATAACTGTGATATATAAAGGAGCATGGTGCAAAATACCATGCCATACTTGCATGATTTTGCAAAGTGATCTGAACAATATGAGTCTTAAACTAGAGAATATACCTCATAGAACTTATTATGAAAATATGAAGGAAGGGATTTTCTGTGTATTCTGTTGAAAACTCCTTCTGAAAATTTCCATAAATATCTTTATATTTCTGTAATGAATTTCAAAGATGTAAATTTTACACATGTATAATTTGTTTCAGAAATTTAAATATATACAAAGCCTGCATTTCTGACTATATGCATCATATTGATCTTAGACTCTTCAAATACCAATTGGAATTTACACAAGATATTTTGAAGGCAGTTGGAGGAACAGAATTACAAAAAAAATTTGATGATCAACTTCATCAGATTCCTCGCTTTCTGGATCTTAAACTCTTACATAAATTAGAACATTTAAACATATTTACTGCGTCAGACTATCGTAACATAATGAAAATTGCCCTTTTTGCCTTAGATGAAATTTTTTAAAAGAACAAAATAACCTGTAAAGAATTTTGTGAACTTTACGCAAAGTTTAGTAAGATATACATAATAAGCAGGAAAGAAATGTACACTGAAAAAGATCTGAAAATTTTTAGAGTAAGTCAAAGTTCATGAAGTCACATTAGAAATCATCAATACACTAAAGATTATCAATTATAGGAAGCAATTATTGATTGGTCTCTCCATTGTTCACTACAAACTGCAATTTTCTGAAATTACACAATTGGCAGTATCACACAGGTAGGATGCTAGTAAACATACAGTATATGATTTTATTCTAATTTATTTTGATTGTTTTTAGTGTCTGCTATTAGAAAATATGGTGCATTGAATGGATTGTCAATGGAAACATATGAAACACTCCGCAAATTATATGTCAAAACCCCATATTAGTTATCAAACAGAAAAGACATAATGAGACAATTGGTGAATGCTATTAGTTGAATTCGATATGACTAAAATCAATTTTTTTAAAATATACATAAAGTTAATTATAAATTCTAATATTCTTTATAGGTAAAATACAAAGAATTGATATCTTCTGCTAAAAAAGTTATTCATTGTAAAGCCAAAAAATTTGGAAAAGTACTTTGAAAACTAACATTAGATAATATCGATCAAAAAATAAAATTGTTGAAAAATCTGAAAATCCATCACATTCAAACTTCTTAAATACCTTTTTGGACACATCTTTACAGAAGTCTGAAAATAATGGATTTTACATTAAAATTTATGGCAAAGTAAATTTATATAAATTTACATATTATTTTATTTATTTTTTTGTATTATTAATTAATGAAATAATTTATATTGCAGGTATTAATGTTAGCAGAAATTTTATTTCTTCCAAACCATCCTATCTTACCTATCATACTAGTACATTGGTATGATTATTATTCCAAACGGTCATATGATCAATGCATTGTCTATTTTTAGGCATTGCAAAATGGATTGTGAAGCGAATTTGGGTCGATCAGGGAATCTTAACTTCAAGTATGCTCAATGAAGTTCAAAAACAAATGAATCGATTTCAAGTTCCGGTCGATTTGGGTCAAATTCCTGGCAAAATCGACTGCGGGAAAGGATTTTCTAACTTCACTGCTGACCAGTGGCGAAATTTTTTCACAATTTATGCCACAGTATCGCTTTGGGACCATCTCTCAGCTGAAGATAGAAAAATTCTGACTCATTTTGTCAGAATTTGTTCGATATTGGTAAGTCAGATTATAGAATCCGACATGTTGCAGAAAGCCCATAGACGACTTGTTAAAATAATAAAGCTCATTGAGGTACAATATGGCAGGAATAAAATTACACCGAATCTACATCTCTCGCTTCATTTGTCCGAATGTTGTCATGATTTCAGCCCATTATATGCATTCTGGTGTTTTTCATTCGAACGCATGAATGGAATACTCGGTAAGATACACTGGCCTTTATTATTATTATTATTATTATTATTATTATTATTATTGGTTTTAAATTTTCTTTTAAATACAACCCTTAGGATCATTACCGAACAGTAACAGAAAAATTGAACCAGAACTAATGCATCGATTAATGAATGATAACCAAATCAGAGATATCATTACTTCTAGCGCTCAGATGAAAGGTCTTGAATTACTCGAAAATCATCCTACCGTTGGATCACTATCAGAAAATGACCAATTCGCTTCAGATGAAATGGAAAGGTTTTGGCTAAATTCAAAAAATATCCAGGAATCTACTGTTACTGGATGCGAAGCGTTTCCTGGTGAAATGTTAAGACCTACTTCTGAAAATGTAGTATTATCACAATCGATGCTCGATTTAATGATCGATTATTATATTGCTACATATGAAATGTATAATTTCC